TTAAGCAAGGACACAAAGGAGTCCAATCTAGGCAATTCAGGCAGGGACCAGACCATTTACATGCACAAAAACCTATAGTACACCCTACAGGAAAAGGAAAATCCCAAAAAGCAATAGGGCCCCTTTGAGAAGAGTTCTATATTCTTTACATTCAGGGTGGTTTTGTAATATTCAAGGGGCCACAGACGGCAGTGGAAGACAGAAATGATTTAGCAGCAGTTTAGTTTCTGTTTGATTTTGTACCGCTCATTGATTTTCCTGTGGTGTCTGGCAGCACTCTGCTGATTGCAGCAGTTTGAGTAAGAGTTTGGTCCAGATCCAGATCCAATACTGGGCTAAAGAGCGGGTGGGGGGGGCTCTGCTCTATGGATGCACTTCATCAGTCGGATCGCAGTCGTTTCACAAAGATCATAAACATGTCATTCTCACTGCAGCAGATCCTCATATTTCATGGCTCATTTAAAAATCATATTGGTGGTGCGGGTTGCAAACATGCCTTCAGTGTTTTCTGCACAAGCAGCAGTACATAAAGTCCCTTTGGGGAAATAGGATTTGTGTATTTAGCTTATTTTCATTTAAGACCCTTCTTACTGAGGGCACTGTGTGCAAAAGAGCAAAGGTCAAACCTGAGCAATGTTGTAGGTCACTCCCTGTTGGTTACTGTTTACATGTCTGACCTACTCCCACAACAGGAGGAGCACCCACAATGCTTTTGATGTGATTGTATTCATGTTTTACTACTAAACTCTGTTAGTTTTACTCCCCGTTTTATAATGTTTTTTATTATCTTATTGTTTACGTTTATATCCTTCTCTGTGAGTTTTAAATATTTTCTGTGTTTTTTTTAAAGCACTTTGTAACTAGTGAATATGCTTTTTTCTTAACAATGGAAAATGTCAAAGAACATAATTTTTTTTTTTAAAGTTGTATTATTATTATTATTACCAGTATAATTAACTATATTAAATATTTGTATTCATTATTATTGTTATTATATGTTTTTTAAATATATTTATTATTTATTTATTTATGGTTTATATATTTTTTTACAGATTCACTTATTTATAAGTTTGGCATTATTATAATAATATAACAATTATAAATGTGCTTTTTTTCTTGAAATGGTCAAATCTAGAACCTCATGTCCGCCCACTGAAACTGATTTCTTGTCGGAAAACATACATTTGAATTGTATTTTTTATTTAAAAGAAAAACTGCAATACTGCATACTTTGCACACTTCTAGTATCCTATATTTATATTTATTTTAGCACTAGGTTGGTTTATTATGGTGTAGGCTATTCTAACTTCTATCATCTGTACTTTTAATGTTTAAGTTTATTTTCAATTTCAGTCATGTGGAATGCCTTGTTAACATGCTGCTGGAACAAAAACATTCACAATTTGGGATCAATAAAGTGCATCTAATCAAATGTATGCTGAATCAGCAGGAGTGGTGCGTCATTGTCAGACAAAGGTGCATTCAAGTAAAATGGGAAATGCCCCCGCTAATACTCATGCTGATTGGTCGTTGTGAGAGGAAGGTCCATTCGGCCAGAGTGGATCTTTGAGTGGATTGGACATCAGGAGAGGACCAAAGCTGCAGAACATTCCTAACGGTACACGAGTGATGAAGTCAAAACGGACAATTCAATAACCATGAATTTGTGTTGGTGTTTTTTATAATCTGAGCCAAAAGGGATTTTTAGCTGTTTGAACGCTGAAAATATTCCAAATAATTCAGTATGTATTACATTAAAGATAAGAAAGTTATTATAAAATCAGTCAGTCCGTTTTTTACGGTATTGTTCAAGTTATTATAAAATTGGGTTTTATTTTATTGTTGATAAATTATTTTTATTACATTTTTGGAGCATTGTTGCTTTTTTCTGGAAATGATTACATTATTGGGGCATCATATCATACTCAGCTAGAACAAGGTTTAGAACTGTATATAATGATGTGGGGGAAAAGTCAAACGGTTAACAAAGTAGGAGCGACTCACGGGTTGTAATAGTTCTAAACCTGTCCTCTGTTGCCCTCTAGTGGCCAACGGTGATCCCTTTTTAAGATGCGCTATTTTCACAATACATTCAAGACTTTGGACTAAAGTTTAAGGCAGTTTATTTATTTCTCTCTCTTTTTGTATGTAACCATTTATACTATTTTTAAAGTGATGTATACATCACATAATAGAAGGACATCTATAAGACATAACATTGTTAAACAATGCACTTTAAAGAGAACCATTAGTCTTTTGGGTTTTCCCTTTCCTGTAGTGTGGTGTTTAGGTTTTTGCCTGAAACGCCTCCATTGGACTCCTTTGTTTACTTCAAAGGACAACACAATCGTGCTTCATGTATGGAAACATGTCACCTGAAGATGAGCAGAATATAGGGCCCCTTTCAATAATATCGTATTCATATCGTGTCATTTATAATATTTGGATTCTTCTTCCAAGGCTTTTCATTTCATCCATATTTTTTTGCAGTTTATAAATAACTGTAATCAATCCATCACATCAGTACATCCTTATCTGTACTTTTAGTTTTGTTCAAATGACAAAGCAGTCATTCACATATACTGTATGATTCTGGTATACGAGGGGAAGTAAATGATCATCTTCCTGTTGCCACACCGCAGCCACAGAACGTGAACTTTGCACTTTGTATTCCTCCATTTTTCTCTCTTTAGACATAAATAGGCCTGAGGTAACAGCGTCTGTGCCTGAGGGAAAGAAGGGTCTTTATGATTCATTCATACTTGCTGTATTCTTCTGAGGCTTCTCAGGAAGTGAAATTGATTCCTTGAAATGTCAATTGAATCAACTGCATTCGCTCGAATCAGGCAGCGTATTTTGAAGTCATTTTATACGGAAATGTAACTTGTTTTAATTGTAACCCCAGGGCACCCCAACAACTGGAATCCTTCCCGAAACAAATTGAATCTTTAGTTCTGACATCTTAAAGCCTAGATTAAATGCAACTCATATCTTAAAAATAAATCTTCGAATGTTGTTCACCTCCTCTTGCAAATCTGTGCCTCTGAAGTGGGAACCATATTGAGTGTTTGTTGTTGTACAATTGTTTTGCTTATTTGTTTTGTTTTTTTGCATTGGTGAATCCGGATATCTTTTTTATCAGGGCACAACAAGATTACAAAGTGCTTTACAATATAACACTGTCATAACATTTTTTTTTAATTATGCAAAATTAGGAAAAGGGGGCTTCATATAAGAACAAGTAGAATACAAATAATCATAATTTCACTTCCATTCAACCATGACAGCTCCCTGGCATGTAACGATTGCTGAACAATGAAAAATGTAACTGAAAGAGGCATGAAGCAACCATGTCTCGACTCAAAATTAACACTTAGAGTAATGAAACAACTACAAAGACACTCAGAACAGCTACCAAACGACACAAAACCACGAGAAAGAGACACAAAAGCACATCAAAAACAGGGGCCTATTATTGGTGTTTAAGCAGTAGATTCTAAGGTGACCAGAGGAGGGCGCACCCTTCTGCAGAATCCCTGCACCGTGTGGGTTGGAACTGGCCCCATGAATAACATTTTTAACAGACAGCAAAAAGAAAACCTACAAATTAGATCATGTTGTGTGCATGCTCGTGGGATACGGTGGTTATAATTCTCTTGACCTCTTCCTCACAGAGAAGCACACGGTGTGAGTTAACATGTTAACAGGGGTGGGTATGTGTTGGAATGTGATGCGTTCACTGTGTGGAGGCATGCTGGGACAGGAGCCGCTGTCGGAGGTATTCCTGTCAGGAGCCGCTCCCCGGCTGTTTGGATTATTCCGTTTTCCCTGAGGCAACATATTTCTGCAGCATGTTGGACTATGCAGATGTGTTAAAAAAAAAAGTGTTACAGATTCACCTTTTATTTGTCATGTTTTAAACCTAAAAATGCTTCTTCTAAAAGGTTTTTGAATACATTTGAAATATTTGGAGCTTTGAATAGATATTTAAATCCTGTTTACATTCAGTTTATGTCTACATTTGGTGTTAATGGAACATTATAAATATGTTTCCCCCTTCCTTGATGCCGTAGGCTACTGCTGATTCTTGGCTCTTTCATTGGGGGGATGTGCTGAAATGCACATGGTAGGGGGGAGTGGATGGGGGACTTTTCTTTCCTTCCTCCCCCATACACACACACACACACACTTTCCATGGGATCTTATTACTGTTGTATATGTGTTCTTGTTGCATGTTTATGTCTGAAACATGAACCATTATCATCATCAACTCTAATAAAAAATATGATCTCTATCTCAAAACTTTATAAATCCCCAAACATAAACTCCTGTTGGGGATATTTGGTAAAAATTCCAACGCTCATTTGTTCAGGAGATTACTGATGACTCTTAAATTAGTCTATATTTTTGTAATCTGTTGTAAAAATATAGCTTGGATTGAAGTGGTTGGGTAAAACACAGGATTAGTTGGATTATTCAACATTACCAAGGCAAGGCAAGGCAAGTTTATTTATATAGCACCTTTCAACACAAGGAAATTCAAAGTGCTTTACAAAAAATGAAAGACATTAAGAAAATGGCATTTAAAAACAGTCATTAAAAAGCAAAGATAATAAAAGAAATATTAAAAGAAAAAATACATGGATAAAAGTTACAGTGCAGTTTAAGATGTGAATAGTTCAATTAAAAGCAGCGACAAAAAGAAAAGTCTTCAGCCTGGATTTAAAAGTAGTAAGAGTTGCAGCGGACCTGCAGGTTTCTGGTAGTTTGTTCCAGATATTTGGAGCATAATAACTGAACTTCTCCATGTTTAGTTCTGACTCTGTGGACAGAAAGCTGACCAGTCCCTGAAGACCTGAGAGTTCTGGATGGTTCATCATTTAGCAGGAGGTCAGAAATGTATTTTGGGCCTAAACCATTCAAAGCTTTATAAACCAGCAGCAGTATTTTGAAATCAATTCTTTGACACACAGGAAGCCAGTGTAAAGACTTCAGAACAGGTGTGATGTGATCCACTTTCTTAGTGTCAGTGAGGACTCGAGCAGCGGCGTTCTGAATCAGCTGCAGCTTTCTAATACCAAGATTAACACATTGTTGGATTTGTGCTTAAATAGGATTAAAACATTAGCTTTCGGTTAAGTTTCACCACAAAAAACATACCTGAATAATATACAAACATAAAAATTGTATGTTTGTACGAAAGTATTGAGGACTTTATTTTACACAATAAGGAGAATAATGGCAAGATTCCAAACAAAACAAAACACATGAGTAAAACTGTCACACCCTCAGTAGATTTACACTAGTTAAAAGTTGTTGTCATGTTAAATAATAATGATCATTGTTAGTTCAAATGCCAAAAGTCTCTGGACGGCCAAAACATTGAGTGTATTTCCCCAAAGATATTTTTTTAAAACACCTAATAGAAAACCTGCAAAACATAAAACTATAAAAAAAAATGTAAATAGCATAAAGGCAATGCCCAGTGTTGTTCCTTGAGTGGAGGCTGGGTGGAGGGATGGTTCTATACGTAGTCCCGCCCCGGCTGACCTGCGGAGCTGGACGCTGGGTGGCGTGGAGCTTTCCCAGAACCCCCCCCAGAGCAGTTACAGCAGAGGAAGCCCCCTCCTATCATGGTGAGGCAGGCAGCTCCCCATCCAACATACAGTGCACTCCCAAACTCATACCTGTGGAAAACATAACATAATATAGTCACATAACACACTGATACTTATGTGGAAAAGACGATTACACAGATTTTGGTTTTTATTGGAACCAGCATACAATACAAGTCTGAGTCACACATCAGTAGCGTAGTCCTTGTAACATGTTTTGTTACTTAATTATGACACAGTTAATGCATATACTTAAAATACATTTGTTTTACTTAGGGCATTTTAAATCTTCCATATATTTCTGCTGGGAAGTTTTGATGTCATTCACATTAAGATTTGAATCATTGTAGTTTTAACTGACCATGTCTGAAGCAAACCACACAGAAATAAGTGATAAGTGTCTTAAATGCGACCTGCTGATGAGCAACAAAGTTCAAACATCTTACATTGAATAAATATTCCAACATTTGTGGTGATCTGCCTGATATTATTGCTGAGAGTCAGATAGTTAGAATGCTAGGCTTACCTCTTTCAAGTCTCTACATGTACATATGCCATATAAAGCTACTGCCTGCAGCTAGTTAGCTTAGCTTATTTTAGCATAAAGACTGGGAACAACAAGCTTGGCTCTGTCCAAAAATAGTATTGTAAAACGTGGGGTTACAAGGGGTTATGTGCTGGGATTTCTCTTGGCAGGCTGCAGTGACTTCTTGGCACGTCACGATAATGACTTCAGGCTAGCCTGTTTCCTATCTATGCTATGCTAAGCTAAGCTAAAATGTAATGTGTATTTTCCAATATATCCAGGGGAAAAAAGTTACTGTACTTTGAGTCAACTACTGTAAAAAGTACAAGTACAAAATTCTGAGGTGCTTGTCATTCATTCGAGTGTTTCAATTTCATGCTAGGCCACTTCACATTTATTTTACACTACAGTTCAGAGCTAGTATATATTCCACTGCATTCATTAAACCAAGGCCGTAACCATGGAGTCAACATTGGGGGGGACCAAACATTTAATTTCCATTTTTTTATATCAGTTAGTTAGGCTATATATTGGGGGGGACATTTTGAGCGTATCTGAATATTGGGGGGATGTGTCTTGCTATTTTGCTAAATTCGGCCTTGCTAAACGTATACTACTATACTAGTTACTCTTCCTATTAACATTGTACTAACAAAATACAAGATAAATGTATACATTGTAATACTGTGCTTTACATTTTGAAAAGGTTTATTAGTTGTTTCATCCTGAAACTGGATGACTAACGGGAGGGCTATTTTCTTTATAAGCTATGCTTTCTGCCCTCCTGCTTTTACTAATTGTGTTTGTTTGTCGGTTTCATAAATTGACTGTACTAATATTGAATTGGTAGAATAAAATAAAAATAATAATACAAATGTATCCAAAATAGCATGATAAAAGACAGATTGTTTGGTGTTATCTGTGTCATTACAAACAGCCACAGTGATAATTAGTGTGGCTTCCAAACTAAAGGGCTAGAGAATGCGACCTCACCTGGAATTAGTGGGAGTGAATGGGTTGTAGAACTCCTGGGCTATTCTGTGTCCATACCAGGACGCTCCCACCAGAGCAAGCAGACCTGAAAACCCATGAGCACAAAAACATTTGATATCGTTTCAGGTTCAAACATGCAGGACTGTATTATGTTTCATGAACTCAAAAGATCCAGATAACGTCAAATGTTGGTCAAAGTACAACATACAACAGTGTGGGGCAACATCTTAGTGCAGAACATCTCACCACCTGATAGATAATGTTGCCGCAGTGTGTGTCTTTTCATTGCATGTGTGTGTCTGAACTGAATGGACTCTCACCAGCGATAATGAAGAGGACCCCTCCAGCTAGAGCCACTTTGTCTTTCTGCTCCGGTTGTTCTGCCATGCAGGTGGTGCACCTCATGCCCACGACGTCCACCAAGAGAGAAATGAGGCTGAAGATGATGGAGGCCATCATCAGCCCTCGGGTGCCCAGCACAATCCCTGCAAACACGGGATCAATTTATTTCATTCAATGTCGCAGCTTTCATGAGTTTTCATTGGCTTTGACCGTTCACCTTTTTTGTAGAAGGGTTAAGGCCACATCTTTACGGAATTCTGACTTTTAACTCAGAAATGAGCTCAATACTTGAATACATTTTTTAAATAAATGTTGTACTTAATCTGACTTTCATTTTCTAAAAGTGTTAAAGTCACAAGTTGAAGTAATTCTTTCTTTAAAGTCAGACTCCATTTATCCATTTCGACTTTCATTTTCATGACTCCACTAGATTTCAGAGGCACATTCACTACATTTAATTCAGCACTCAGTTACAAGTTCTTTTGTTCAAATAAAAACACATGATTTGCAGTACTGTATTACAAATCTGCACAGCATTTAACGTATCTACACTCACTCCACATTGACAAACTACAATACTAAAATGCTCTTACATGTATAAGAACAGGGTCATAATAACTATAATAATATAATAAGATCCACTGAATGCTGAATAAGTACATTTCATTTCCATACTCGTATATGTTGATGCTAATACTCCTGTATACTTTTACTTAAGTAACATTTTGAAATCAGTACTTTTACTTGTAATGGAGTATTTAAAGACCATAGTATTTTTAACTTTTATTTAAGTAACGGATCTAAGTACTTCTTCCAATATGTGTATCAAGTGTGTTTATCATATACAAACCAAAAATACTTTTTCACAAAAAACATTAGCATTTCAAACCAAAGACCATCCAGAGCATATTTTCCTTTTGTATAGATTTCTAAGGAAAGGAGGTTTGGTTTTGATCTGCCCGCCCGCAGCTGGTATTTGGCGGACATGTCTCTGCTCGCAGGCGGCCTTACAGGGCTTTCTGAAACACGCAGGAGGCTTTGAATGACCACAGATTTATACATAATCCATAATCCTGTTTTATGTCATATGGGTTCTAGAGTGAAAGTGAGACATTTCATAAATTCATAATTTCAAATCACCATTATGAAAGAAAAATCTATTTAGTTTGAGAAATGCACAATTGTTTTATCCAATTACCAATAGTCCTTCCACACCTACATTTCTTTAGAAGAAGAAGTAGATATTGGCCTGGATTAAGGATAATTGGTGTATGCTCACTATGCTATTCTGCGAAAATAAAGACAGTTATTTTTGTATCTCATGGACTTTAGAGTCTGATGATAGTATAGTAAAAGCATGATGTGTGCAGAACATTACCTGGCAGTTGGAGAAGGGAATCGTACACTTTGCACTGAACCTGCCCGGTGCTCTGTGACACACAGCTCTTCCACAGCCCTTCATACATGGCCTGAGCTGTGATGATGTTGTCTCCTGCATACGATGAAGCTTTCCACTCCACCATGATTGTGGAAGCTATCGAGCCGATGAAGCCCAAAAAGGCCAGCGTGAAGCCCAGAAGCTGTATCCCTGCATTGGCCATCGTTTGAGGTCAGAAAATGTGAAGAAGTGGAATAAGTTCCAAGAGATTGAAAAGATCCCAATGCTTTCTTGATGTAGTTCCTGTCCTGGGTGTATGGGCTGGTGGAAGTGATCTCAAACAGTGGTGTCTACTTTAGCATCCTCAGGGAACACTACTGAGGAGAGGGAGGCTCTAGGAATGCATCACCTGAGGTCAGGAGGAGCGGGTGGACACCTGGTGGAGGTGAGGCTCTCTGCAACACTCAAACTGCTCCCAAACCTTAAATCTCCAGGGAAAATGCACAGCACTTAAAAACCGTGTTACTACTTTTTATTGGAATTAACTCCTCGGGACGTACCATCTTGTTTTCAAGGGCGTCCTCAATGACAATAACTAAATACAATATTAAAACAATTGGTAAAAAAAAAGAAATACCAGCCCACTGTACCACTGTTCTGAAATAACAATTCATATGTGCAATATACACTTTATTTTTACAAATATTTACTATTTATTTGAAGTTAGCTTATGTTACTACTTTTTTACAATGTATGTATACTACTTTTTTTATTATCATTAATGTGTGCTTGCCTCTATTTAATATTGTCTACTCTTTTTTCTTTTGCTTTTCATTTGTGTTGTACCTTTGCTGTTGTAACGCTGTAAATCTCCACACCAGCAAACAACTATAAGATTTCTGAATTTGATATATTCAACAGAAAACAAAAATAACAACAAAATAATAAGTACAAATTAAATAAATAATTACATAAATAAATATCCAATAATTAGACTTCAAATAATGAGAATCATATTCCAATCTGAAAAAGATTATAGAAACTTTCGGTGAATTTAGTAATAAAGTAAAAATACATTACTATAAATGTGTAATTATGGATGTGAACAATTTATCCTTTGATAACAAGGCATTTTCAAACTATGGAAGGATGATGAGCCTCAGGGCTAAAAAAAAAGAAAAGTTAGAAATTTAAAAAAAATTTAAATTTCATAAGAACACAATTTCCCGATTTTGGATCAACAAAGTACATCTTATTATCTTATACTAACATAACTACGCCTATATTGCGTACAGCGCCCATAAACTATGGCTATATAATGGTTTTAGTGTGCAATTATAGGTTTTAATTTTGTATTTGTGTTAATTTAAAATAAATCAAACTCCCAAAAAACGTACACAGCTTCTGTGTGCTTTTATTAACATTGAAATGTACTGTGTAAATGAGGCTGTGGCTCAGTGGATAGTATGATGGACTTCGAATCAGGGGATAGTAAGTTTGAGTCCCACTGCAGTCAGCATGTCGTTGTGTCCCTGAGACACTTCACCCCAAATTGCTCCTGTGGGGATTGTCCACAGTATTGAGTATGTAAGTCGCTTTGGATAAAAGCGTCTAACAAATGTAACAATAAGCAGCCGCGGGGGGGGGGGGAGAGCTTTAGAGAGCTCTCTCCTGAAAGACTGAGAGGCTGATAACCTCAGCTCAGTGAGGTAAAGGCACATCTTTATATGATCATTATAGTTATAAAAAAATAAGAGAATAGGTGAAAAACAGGTATAAAATACTATGACAGTAAACAAAAGTTGTTATTAATAAACAAGAATACAGTTTAAAAGGGGAGTGATTAGTAAAATATCCATAAAGAAAAAGTCAATCTGTTTTCAGTTCTGTTTCATATCGTGTTGAGAGATGTATCCATAGATCTCTAATGTTGCTCTCAAAGTGCACCAGATTGATACTTTTAACTTCAATATTAAAAAAAAAAAATCTTCCCGGGGGAGCATGCCCCCGGACCCCCCTAGAGGATGTTAGGTCCACCCCCCACTTAAATCATGTTCACATGGATAGGATACTTAAAGGACAGGTGTCATGGCCATTTCTACTGATCATAATTCCATTGTTGAGGTATACTAAATTAGATTTATATTGTGCAATTTTCCAAACTCTCGTTGGTTTCTCATACAGCATCTCTGTAAAGTATGTGTATTCACTCTCTGTCCTAAATGGCTTGTTCGAGCTCCTGCCCCCCCTCCCTGTGAGCCCAGTGTGCTCTGATTGGTCGAGAAGCTGACAGTCTCGTTGCTGCTCGCACACACACAGACACACACACTGCTGGAGGAGCAGACAGGCTTGCCGATACAGCGAGAACAAGCGAAACTCATCCTGAGCACACACAAACACTCACAGCCGAAGTAAAAACAATAAGTGTGGCTTGATATTGAGTAAGAAAAAGGTTTATAACGCTGTGAGAATGGGTCTGCGGAGAGCATTTCTCCGCGATCCCAACGTAGTAGCCCGAAAAACGTTTACCCATTTAAACAGTCGTGGTAAATACCTTGTTTGTTTTAAACATCATAAATACACAAACAACAATGAATACTTACAGGTTGTGTACCCGAATCTCCCGCTGGTCCAAACAAAGTAGGAACAGCATCGTTCTTCAGTGCCCTACGCTGTACATATCCGGCATGAATCCCTGAGAGGTTTGGGAAGCTTTGTTTCGTGAAAGGCTGGCAGAGGGTGTGGCCTCTGGGCACAGTGTTAGAGTTTTACTCGCTACAGGGTGTACTTTGAGGGTTTTTGACTCTGCAGACCGTTTACATGCATAAAAACCTTCATAACACACAAGGGGACGGGTAATAACCGGAAAAGCATGACACCTCTCCTTTAATACAGTTGCACACATCTTGTGTCCATATCTTTCTGTTTTGGTGCTCATGCCACAACCGTGCACGTGCATGCATGCACGAGTCATAGTGAGTGTCTGCATTTTCGGATTTTAGCTTGCAAGCTAAAATCTTGCCTAGGGCAGCAAATTGGTCAGGGGTACACTGTAAAATGTTTGGCTGTAAAATTACAGTAAATTACTGGCTACTAGTTGCATGGATTATACTAAATACTGTGACTTTACAGGTGCCATGCCCATGGAATTACTGTGATGTAGCAGTACAGAGCTGTGGTATTATGGTACCTTGCTCTACATAAATGACAGTAATTACCTGTATCTTCACACTTTTACTGTAGAAGTAATGCAACACAGTAGCCAGTAATTTACTGTAAATATAAAAATGTAAATAATACGATAATATATTGTAAATTTGACTAGTTAACTGGGATTTTACCATAACTACAAAATTCAATCAGCTCAATTAACAAAGAAAAACAAAGAAAATGCCCATTTTAACTTATTATTACTCCACTGAAGTGCAAAGTACATTTCACAGTGTCTTGGACTGAAACAAAATAAAGCCGCAAAAACTGGACTACCAGGTCCTCCCGGCTAAACATAAACACATCTGCAAAAATATGGCCTACAGCTCAAAATGGCAAAGAGGTATTCTGAGGAGAGTGTCTCCCGGCGTTAGGATAGGCGAGACATCCTTCTCCTCCAGCTTCTCTTTATATATACACGGCTGAGTGGAATTTGGAACACCTGGGCAGAGGCGGAGCCAGGGGCAGACCAGGTGCACCTGGGCAGAGGCGGAGCCAGGGGCAGACCAGGTGCAGAAAACAAGGAGGGGAGCACATGTCTACACAGACATCCACTCAAAGTCAACCATTGTTCTGAAGAATGTGCTGACATGGGGGTTTAAATTGCCATGCCTCTTTTTGGCTTTCAAGCCCGTCCCAGGAAGCACCTGAAAACAATAAGCCAAGACAACAATTACAATTTTACATAGATGTATATGTTGCATCGTTTATTTTAAGGCACATGCAGCGGTGCCCCTTTCAATTGAAGTAAAACCTGCACCAAAGAAAGAAATGAGTATTTAAAACCAAGCAAGAGCGATAAAAGCAAGAAAATCACTTAATTTGTTGTGTTATCACAGAGGATGGTCTGAATACAGTATTTTACTATGAAATAATACAGTAACATGTTGTGAAATCCTGGTAATCATTTATCCTGTACATTCACAGTAATTAACTGTGCCTGTATTGATTTCACTGTGAAATTCAAAATTACAGTATTATATTGTGAACATTACAGGTAAAGACTGTAAAGTGGTAAAACAGTCATTTATTGTAAAATATTACAGCTAAATATTGTGAAATCATGGTAATATCTTACAGTGTAGCCTCTATTATTAAATACTATTAATAACAAGAAATAGACATTTATGCCAGTTTCAAGCGGCACATAATAATGATTGTTGTCCACATCTGACGTAAAATGTGCCGGACTTCTTATTGCGGATAGATATGACTGCACATAGCCCCTTCGTCCTCCTGACACACGGTGTGTTCTCATTAGCAGCGGTCTGTTAGCCAACATTAACAACCTCTGGAATGTTCAAATTGACCAATCAGAATCGGGGGACTAGGCCATGCAATAACATGTTTTATTTATAATTTAAAATGGTCAAGCTGTTGTAATTGTTTCTACATTTTCAATATAAAAAGACTAGTTGACAAAAACTGGAAAGAGTGATCACAGATCATTTCCTGTGGGATCTATTTGTTTTGCTTTGGTAAATACTGACTAATCTCTGACAGACCTCTGCTGAAACTCACATAAAAAAGAAAAAAAATCCTCTATTCAAAGCAACAAATTCAAGTTATTTCAATAGTCCCCCCTCTGTCAGCTGATTTGCATTACAACACATTTTGAATTTGAGGATTATCCACTTTTTTAATTTTTTGCTGTGAGCTAATGGAAGCATGTCAGAGCTGGCTGCTGACCAAAGGTTTTCCTCTTGCCTAATTCACCCTGTTGCTGTGTGCACTTTGTGACAGCTGGCTTGTAGATCGGCAGGAGAATATACGGGATCCCTATAACACAGAGGTATGTTCGATTTCATTTATTTAAACAGAAAACTCTCAGTGAAGAAAGTGCATATGTATTCTGTCCTTATATCAAAGCATTGACTCCCTGTTAATTCATAGAAAGTTTCTCCATGTTTCCACAGTGAAAAATGGACAAAGTGTTGGGACTGCTTCTGTTCCTGGTGCTGCTTCTCTGCCACAAAAGCAACACACAGTTACAAACCTCGTGTCCGTATAACTGCCAGTGTTTCACTTCAGTCCAAATCCTGTGTGCGGAAGAACGGATGTCGTCTTTACCGAAGAACATGTCCAGGCAAGTCAAGGAGTTTATCGTGATCAGATCAACAGTATCGTACCTGTTTGCCCAAACTTTAAAGGAGAGCCCCCAACTCACCAAACTCGTCTTCCTCAGTAATGCCCTGCGCAGTATTCACTCTCAGGCTTTCGAGCATCTGAGTGAGCTGCAGGAGCTGGAGATCAGTGGGAACCCCTGGCTGGAGTATTTATATCTGGGAACTTTTTCCAAGCAGGGAAACCTGACTAAACTGTTGCTCAACTTCAACATGTTCAAGACCGTGCTCCCTGGCATGTTCGACTCTCTGAAAAAGCTAGAAACTCTGCAGATGAAGGGCAACGTCATATCAAATCTGCCTGCATTCCTTCTGCTTCACCTCCACAATCTGCGGGTCTTGGATCTGTCCCAGAATAAGATTCAAGACGTGAAAAGGGAAACTTTTTCTGGCCCGGCCAAACTGGAGATCCTGAAACTGAACAACAACCTCATCAGCAATCTCACATCTGACTTGTTCCACAATGTTTCACAGCTGGAAGAGCTTCACTTGGAAGGGAACAACATATCAGAACTCGCTGATGATAGCTTCTCCGTATTAACCAAGCTGAAGGTCCTCAACCTCAGAGGGAACCTTCTCACGAGATTCAGTGGTAAATTGTTTGGATTCAACGCCCCAAATTTGAAGGAACTGAACCTTAAAGGCAACATATTGACCACGTTGTCCTCTCTGAGCAGTTTGACGTCCCTTACTGACTTCATCTTGTCCTCAAACCAGCTCTCCGACCTTCCTGAGGACACTTTTAGAAATGTTACAGCCCTGGAGAATCTAGACCTGTCTGAAAACCAGCTCACCCTGCTACCAGAAACGGTCTTTAATGAACTTTTCAGCATCAAGGCGATCCACCTCAACAAGAACAACCTGAGCAGGGTGGACGCCAATCTGTTTGAGGACCAGTTGCTGATTCAGCAGCTCTACCTGTCCGACAACCAGCTGGAATCTCTTCCACTGGGCCTGTTGGACCCTTTTGTCATCCAGCACACGGTGAGACTGCACGGGAACCCTTGGAAATGCGACTGTCACATGGGGTATCTGCACGACTGGGTGCTGAGAAATGGCCGAGATGTGGAGATGCTCGACAGGATGCTCTGCTCTAGCCCTGGCTTCCTGAGAAGACGGGCAGTCGTGTCCATCGACAAGGACCAGTTGGTGTGTGAGGTGTCTAGAGATGCTACAACTGATCTCAGTAGATGTAGAGTACAAGCTTCCGGGGACACTGTGATTGTCAATTGCAAAGTGGACAAGTGCTCTCCACTTACAGTGAGGCTGCAGTTTCAGGAGGATGACGGAAGCATAACGGAGCATTATTTGAAACATGAGTCAAAGTGTAGCAATGACACAGTGATTGATATTCCTGGTCTGTAGTTTTTCCTTGTTACTAGACTTTGTTCTCTGTGCAAATACGTCGACATGCATCTGAGTCATATTATATGTTCTGACTGTCAGAGTCAATACTGTAAACAAACCTGTAACGCAACAGCTGATAACCAGCAACCATGCAAGCTGCTGGACGATAAAAGAGGTGGATGAACCCTTTTCTTGGAAAGTTTAAAGTTCAACCAATTGCATTTTAAGATTACTACTGAAAGGAACTGTGTGTATAACATGTTGAATCTCCTGTAGTGATGCTTCTGACCCCGTTGTTAATGATATTCTAATGTCAAACTGACATTAACGCAAGACAACGCACTACAACGGCCCAAACACTTACAAAAGGAGAAACGGGCTGCATTTTCGTAAATATAGAAACACAGATGCCAAAACACATCCTACAGAGTTCATCTGTTTCATAGTGTTTTGTCAGTATATTTGAAATGACTATAAGCTATCTAGCTCACAGCAGATCTGCAATAATATCAGTTGACACATTGTTAAAATAAGCCGATAAAACTTAAATTTTAGGTACGTTTCCAGTGACAGTCGGCCATCTTTATTTTAGTTGCATTGTTTTTGGATTTGCAGCGAGCTTCTCCTAATGGTAGTGTTTTGGGTCGTTGCAACTTTATTGCCCGTGTCGGCCACCGTATTCCCCGTGTCAAAGTGAATTATCATTGGAAAACATGTTGACAAATGTTTGTGTTGTTACGGGATCAGATATGATGCATTTTGCACTTTTGCACTCCAAGAAGTCTTGGAAGAACTGCTTTTGAAAAATGAAAATAAAAAAGAATATTTCCTTCTGTAAATGATGACTTTATTTTAAAAAATGTACAAAACTTTGAAAAGGCAGAAAACATATTTCATTAGGGGAGCGATGGAGGGAGTATCAACATCATTCACTTAAAGGGGACCTATCATGCAAAATGCACTTTTGTACGTCTTTTATACATGAATATGTGTCCCCGGTGTTCCAGGGAACTCACCAAGTGTCAGAAAACACAACCCTCTCTCTTTTCCTCCATACCCAAATCTCTAAAAAAGGGGCTGCAATGGATCTGATACAGACTGATCCAGATTTGAACACTTTACTGACGTCAGGAAAGTGGCGCTACGGCTATTGGGCCAACTCTCCACCTATCAGGGGAATGTGGGGTTGGGCCACGGCCGGCCATTGCCGCTCGAAAGCACTGGAGACGCTGTAGTACATATGCCAGGCCTGTAAGTGGCGCTGTAGTCTGCCACAAAAGCAGCGAAGAAGACTACCATGGTTACCCTTCTGTTTATTCTCCGCTGTGGCTTTTTTTCTCCCTCCCCGAGGCAAGCGTTTGCTCCCGCTGCTTTAATTCAATGCAATCCCTCCCCGTCGAGGCAAGCACTGTAATTCTCTCCGGTTAGTCCACCAGCAGATGACAAACATCCACCTTTCCGCCTCTTCCAAGGAACGAGGGGACCGTGCGGTAGAGTTTCAGTTAGGTTTTCTTTCGCCGGTCAAGATGTCCGTTAAAGTTTAAATCTTCCGGACAAAATTAGAAAAGTGCCGGTCAAAGGTCTTCTTTGTTATTTATTGAGCTTTAAAACAAATGAATACCGACTCTATATAATAAAACACGGAGGACGGAGATCTCATTTTCTCCCCCTCTTCTGACTTGATCAGAGCACGCTCCCCTCTCCTGCAGGGGGGCGTGGTCAGCTGCAGCTCACAGAATCAGCCCCCTGCAAAAACAGGGCTGGAGAACAGCAAATGGAGCGAAATGAGGCATGGCTAAAATGCATGATCTGTTTGGTATTTTGAAAACAGAAACGTATAAATATACCTTATACAGGTATGGCCCTACAATATATCATTTAAATATAGCATGATAGGTCCACTTTAAGCAAAGGTTTTTATACCTGAAATTGTGAAATAGTGCAGCGATACTATCAGCACAATACATTTAAAAGTAGAACTAGAATAGCTCTTTCCCTTGTTATATTACTTTTGGATTATTATTGATGCATTAATGAGTGGGCATCATTGTAATGTAGTGCTGTAGGTGAAGCTCATTTGTGAACTGTTTTTGGATTGGGTAGTTTAAACAGTGGTGGAATGTAACTAAGTACATTTACACAAGTACCATACTTGACATCATTTTACTTTACTTCAGTATTTCCATATTATCCTTTTTTTTATCAACTACTTATATGTATATATATAAAAAGTGGTTGATAAAAAGTAAAATAAATGGTACATATAAAATCACACACTTAACAATAAAATTGTCTCCAAATGATAGACTTGAAGATAAAAAAGCTTGTACAAATGATAAAAACAGGCCTATATAATATTCTTTATAAATACTTTGAATGAGCTACTCTGCATTCTTTTTCTTTTGATACTTTTAGTACATATGGCTGATACTTCTGTACTTTATGTTACTGAAATGGGCCATTGTGCAGAATGAGTACCTTCTGTACTTTGATTACATTCTGAAGCTTATATTTGTTGTACTTTTGAATTCAGGGTTTACTTGTTACTGAGTATTTTAAGACCATAGTCTTTCTTCTTTTACTTAAGTACAGGATCTGAGTACTTCATCCACCTGGGTTCCACCAGCGGCAACACAACATTAAAGATTAACATTGCTTTAAAATGATTGTCGATAAGTGGTTTCAATTATAGTTGTCACGACTTCATGTAAAATGAACAATATCTCCCTTTGATTTATTAAGTATTACATTGAAATTAATCTAGACTTACTCAATTTTTGTACAAATACCTCAAATTTGTACTGTGAAACTTTTTAATAAATATTTTTAGACTTATATATCTGTCTGTTTTACTCTTAGGATACTTAAGATAGTAGAAGTGACCCATCCTGTCATCCCGGGGTTCTTGGACACCCCTGGATCACTCCGCTGCTCCTGAACACTGGGAGGATGATAAAGAGGTGGGGGGGGGGCAGCCTCCACACAACAAGGCACACAGATGGCTACACCTTGAATACAGCACTCTTCCCGGGGTTAATAAGGGTCAAAGGCCAGGGGGTCGATTGGGTCCTCGGTCCGAGTTGAATGACATCACAATTCACATGACAAAAACTGGTGGCCGTCTTACTTCCAACGTTTGGAGTGAAGGCATTTAGCTGGAGGTAATCCTCACTTGAGCAAAACTATGGTTGAAACAGGACATTTAACATTTAAAGTGCAGGGTTGTTGGCTAACGAGCAGCCAGGCATGTGGAAGCTACGCATATCTTTCTTTAGTGAGGGTAACAGGGTTCATATAGATCATTTAGGCTCTAAGGAGAAAATCATAGTTTCACAGTCAAAAAGATAAATAGTACCAGACAAAATATTTTCTTTAATTATTGAGGAATATTTGTAAGGTAATCCGTCATACGAATAGGCATTCATTGTATTGCAACATCATTTTAAAATTGTACCTCTAAATCTCTTTTTTGAAAACCAGAACCACTCTGATCAATATGAAACGTGAAACTTTTTTTGCAATTCAATTGTTCTTAGAAATGTTTAAAATTCCAATTGCAGATCCACACATGTTCATTGTAAGTTTGAATTTAGCCTCCGTTAAGGAAAATCTACGTTTAAAAAGGAATCATAATGACAATAAAGATAATAATACATTACAAAAATAATCAGTGTAATAATAGTGTAACATGGGTATAATATGGGTGTAATACAGGTGTGATAATGATGTATTATGGGTGTAATAAGGGTGTGATTACAGTGTAATGACGGTATAATAGTAGCGCAATTACAGTGTAATATAGGTGTTCCATGGGTGTAATATGTGTCTAATAACAGTGTAATATGAGTGTCACATGGGTAAAATAAGGGTGTAATTAGGGTGCATAATGGTGTAATATGGGTGTAATAACGGTGTGGTGCTATTTAGAAAATAGCCCATTTAAAGGTTATTATAATACATTATTGTTTAAAATCTTAGCCAACATTATTGGTGATATATTTGGTGTCTTTGTGATATTTAGAGAAGAATTTCGACTAAAGTTGAGTGGGTTTAAAGGACTGGTCACTGAACATATCCATAAGATTTACCCCCTGTTTGGTACAGCGTAGTTTCAGAGGTTAATTAAGTTACCTTCAATTCCAAAACATCCCAGCAGCCATCACTTTCAATTAACCCCTTGCAAAGTTACAGCGGCAGGGTCTGAGTGGCTTGGTGAAAAGCAGCTCTGCCCCCCGCCCCCACGGCCAGATCCCATCACTCCGCTACACCGACACCACGCTCCACACAGCGGCTCCTCAGAGGGGCGAGGACAGAAGCAGAGGGGAGGAGACATTATCTGCTGAGACACACAATGTCCGAATCAACACAAAGCACTGGGGGGGTTTCCCACAGTGTTTCGATGGGCCTGTGTGGAGGGGGGGGGGGGGGGGCAAGGGCAGGGCAGCGTCCTTGGGACAAAGGGTAGAGGTCATCTCGGACTCAGTGCCCGGTGCGAGAATTCAAGAGGAGAGTTTTTGATCTGGAAATGTAAATTAATTGGACATCGGGTTGCTGTGTGTCATCAAGTTATCATCTCTAATATACTGTAGTAACAACGTAGGCATATGTCTGTCTTGAGCACCGCCACCTAATGTAAGAAATGGTCTCTTTGATAATCATGCTTATTGTTGTTTTATTCAGCATCATTCAAATGAGCTCAGTCAATCGTGTAATGATAACCACCACCAGTCCCTATAATGAAGGCAGGTGTCTATTAGATCCTCTCTCTCAGCCAATGAGATCGTGATACACATCCTCCGTGACACGATGACCTAAACATCTCAAGGACACAAAAACGCCATTTTGCACACTCAAAATGTGAGCCTTGCTTACAAACAAGGGTCAATATTTACCCCTCAGTGCACCCAGACCCCCGCATGGAGGCTAAATAGTTTTTGACCAAATTAAGAACAGCTGACCTGATGTGGGTGTTAAGTGGACGCAGAGATGTCATCAGAATGGTAATCTTTAAGCGTACTGGTACACCGGCTTTTGTCTTCTTCGTCCCTCTTGGCAGATAACAAGAGGCTATAAGCTCCTTATCATCACATTACAATTATTGAGAATGAATCAGGACCCTGGCCCCTGTGGACCCTGCTCTTATACATCTACACTTGTTTTGTTTCCAGCTCTCCAGATAGAGAGGTTTTTAATATGTATGCATGCAGCCCGTCATTGTATTTTGAAGAGACACGGCAAAACCTAGCAGCTTGTCTCTGCAAAACAATTGGAAAAATACCTCCCGCACTCCAAACACCAGCAGCAGAAGTAATTTGTGAAGAGGGTTTTGTTTCAGAAAAATATGTTTCTTGAGTGGGCCGCATTAATTATGGGTTGAGTGATGAAGCAGGATTATCAACATTTTACGAATGCAGTCGGTCCCTGTTGTTACTTCATGGTTCCAGATTTTAAGAGCATTGACGTGCTCAGCTATTACCAAAAGGTAAGTAAAAACTAAAACCAGCGAACAGATTCTCATACTCTTTCAACCTAACAGTTGTCTTAGAGTTGTCTGCTATCGCTCAGTTGACAAATGCTTGCCTACATGTTTATAAAAGTAGATAGAATTTATAATCCCTCAATACAGTCTTGTTGGGAAAGTGGTGCCAAAAAACACGCAAAGCAGTAGAAAACGTCCTTTTCCACAAGTGTAATGATGATTTGAGTCTAATACAAATGGAGGACATTTTTCATAGCACCAAAATCATAGTTGCATTAGCATCAGT